GAAGCTTGTCCATGTCTCCGATCGAAAGCAGGAGGTATTCGGGATCTTCATAAGCCGGGTAATATGGAAGCTCCTGCAGGGAGAAAACGAAAGTGTTTCTCGAGTATTCAAGAACCAGATCATGGTCGAAATACTATCGACTGCGTGAGGTTCCAAGACCTACGACCGCCCACACAGTGAAAAGGGATCGTTTGACATGTTACAGCCCGTCTCGAGTGACGGTCAAGTCATCTCACAGGCAACGGAATGCCTGTAACAGCCGAGAGCATTTGAAAGTGAGGGACTTTCGGGGTGGGAGGGCATGGACAATGAGAACATGAGATGGAGTTGGTAAGGAAGGTTAAGGAAGGACGAAGAATATTTGTTTTGATAGCACTTTAAATTACCAGGATGACGTCAATATTGAGCATGCTGGAATTGTCCAACCCACGACGCTGCAGTCCAAGTCCAGCTACGCACTGCGCGATCAGGCGGACGAAGAACCCCTTTTTAGGCAATTATGGGTCCGCGGGTGCATGTGGAACGTGGCGGGCGGATCATGCGCTCGCCTGATCGAGTAAAGTGATCGGGATCGGGGTGGTCGATGTCATTACAGACGCCCGTCGCTGATTTATGGAGAGTACTCGTGCTGCCACTGTGGCTCGGAGGATTTTGTTTGGGCAGTCTACGAGAATGGATGGGTCGGGGCACCTCACCCCTCTTGTTGCAGAGCTGTCTGCACTGGTTCAGGACCTTTTCCAGAATGGAATTCTTCGAGGAGATAGGTCCAACCTCGAGGTAGTACTATCTTATCTGGTCCGCGCACCCCCAACGTGCCAACCGCACCCTCCGCGCGTGCCTCGATTCTCTTCCCGAATTCCCATGTTCGTAACTTTACCCCGCCTTCCCCAATTCGAAATTACGAACAACTAAGTTCCCACTCCAAGTTGCTGTCTGTAGATATCTTATTCCGAGAGGGCCTTGTATAATGAGCCGTCAGTTCCAGAAACCACTTGATGGCATACGTTTGGTTTAATGAATGTGGGAGATCTTCTACTTCGAACCGAGGCGAACTGATTAGATTAGTTAACCCACTCTCTTTTTTTGTGGCCTGCTGGACCTGCTGGACCCTAAGCCTGTCACGACAAGGCATGTCCTCAGAGACTTACTGTCACCCCAGAACCTGACCATTAGCACTAAATACATCCATCTACGTGATCGACTGCCAGTCAACTCTATCTTTGGCCCTTTTACGGGAGCCGCAGACGTGTCACCTTCTATGAAAGTGGGGCGTTGAAGAAGGCAATACAGGAGTCCAATCTCCAGCTCGTGACATGGCAAGATCGACTTGTGGTCTTTGTGGTAAGTCTTGAGGCTGCCGATACAACCTAGATCCTGGGGATTGCGGTGATACACACTCGGAGGATTCAAATGCCGCCTAGCTTGCTGCGCGACCGCCGAGGGCAATTTGATCGAGTCTACTTGACCTCATGATTAGATTTCATGATCCCATTGTTCATTCAGTCGTAGTCCAACGAGCTGAAGTCAAAATTCGAGATCGCTCTCAATCCTCGTATCGTATATTCTCATTCCCATAGTATGTCATTGACAGCAGTCTGATCTTTCCCTGGCACTGCGTGTCAAATTAATGTCCGTACTTTTGCCTCTATTAAATTACGAAGAGAGTGGGAAGTTTCTGGAAAGTCAGTAACAGGTGTCTAGACCTCCGAAGGAGGGCTTACAGTTTAGACGTGGCACGAGAATGGATTTTCCATTCCTTTTCTCACCATTTCCTACTTCATATTCCGAGCAAGATTTCTAGAAGACATTCGAAGGCGACCCACTCGAGTTATCTAAGCATGACATCAGAATAAATAGAGAAACAGGCATACAGCTATCACAATCCCTCTTCAATTAATCAATTAATCCCTATTCACTCAACCACCAAAGACGCCGAGACGACGGGCACATCGAGGCGTCCTGCAGCCTATCACAACGTCCACAGAAGACTCGCACGCGAGATTCGGGCGCCGACGTGTTTCCGGTTATTGGAGTCCCCTCGGGGCAAGCTTCAGCCTTCTAGTTCCCGCCTCCCGACGTGCCAGGCTTTTTCAGGTACTGGATACTTCATATAACCGCTTCCCAAGGGCGTCAATCCTTGGACGGTAGGCAGCAGATCCTTGTTTATCCATTCGCAGCTAAATAGCCTATAAGCTATGCTCGCGTCCGTACGCGCCATCACACGGCGTCGATCGTCTTCCTCGACATCCTCTCTCTACCTCCTGGATGCGCCGATCCTCTTCCTTGTCGACTTGTCGTCGCTGATAGCCAGCCTCATGAGCAGTCTGGACTGGTTCGAGACATACTCTGTAACGAATCCGTTTCACTGAACCACCTCAATAAACAAGCTGTACCGAACCAAGTTATTCAAGCCATTCCTCTGACCACGCCAAATACTAATTGCATATTCGCGTTATTGTGCCACGAAACTTTCATCGCGCATCCGAGTCGCTGGAACCGTGAGAACGGTCTCTCCGGGCCGGTGGTACAAGATGATCGTCGTTAGACGGGTTAGGGATAGGTATTCACTGGACGTACGTCGATTGAAGAACTTGGAGCAAAGAGTAGACTAGAACCACTTCACCGTTATCCCTACCCCAAATTCATTCTGGCGCGTTAACTCTTCCATTATTCAAGCCTCGTGTTGGTTTGCGACACCGCTGGTATTCGGAAGGTGCAAGTGATGCAACGATGTTTTCGTCGGGTCGAATAAATTCCGGGAAAACGGCTGGATGCCACCGCCAAACGAGATGGTTCAAGAAACCCTAGCCCAAGTCACGTCGGACCGACGCGTACTGCCCATAATGCTGATAAGGAAGCACACTTAATGGTCAGTCGCGCCTTGCGGTGGCCTCGAGGCTGGTTCGCTTGCGGGAATTAGAGTGCGCAACCGTTCCTTCGGGATGCGCACAATATCATAGATCGGATAATGAGGGAGACAGATGAAGAAGTAGTTTCGGGTAGATAGTTAGCTGTGTACTTTATAGATCATAATACATCTCTCGGACGTGTACGGTGGAAGTCCGGTAGAATCACGCTTTCAGTCAGCAAGAGCTTCCTAGGGATCCCTTAACTCAACCGTCGGCATATATTTAAAGGGACATGAAATTTCCACTGTGAATGATATCATCCCGAAACCTTTGACAACTTTGTATTCCACGCGCTATCGCCATATGCATGTTTCCTCGCCCATCTCGTCTCACCCGTGCCTCAGAGTCCTCGAACTCACCCTTCGGGATGGGACGCCGTCTCCCTCGAATTCGTCTCAGCTCGACGACTAAATGTTACGAAATTCAGACAGGCGGACCCAGCAGAAATACGTCTCCCGTTCATGTCTGGTGTCGAAAGTCTTCACCCCTCGATATAATGCTATCACAGGGATGGTTATGCTTCGCACAACGCCCCACTCGCTGTTGCTGAAGGATTCCGATGAGTCTGGAGTTGCGCGTGTGGCAGAGAATCGACATCTTGTATGGGCGTCCAGCTCATCTGCCTTCTCTCTCGACTTGCTGTCTGCTGGCGATGGATCTGGCTGCTTCCACGTCTTCCAATGTGCGTGCATACTCCGTGCCAAGAGGCATTATACGACGAGTCATCCTATGGGAGGCTGACGCGGAATACCGATAACCTCCAACGTTGTTCTATTTCAACTCTCGAAGTGAACTTCTGCGGTTCAAAAATCGGCATCCAATATGAATGATCTTCAACCGACGATTTTCCATTACTGAGTCAGCCAGACGCATCTGGGTATTCTGACGGGACGCTCTTCGAGGAAGGGAGATTGTGGTCTGGTCAAGTGGCGCGTCTTTGGTAATTGCTAGTGGGCGGCTTCCAAGGTGCGGGATCACGAGGGAAACACGTTGGAGTTCAACGCGTCGTCTCAGCTCAACTTCATGCCATTAAACCACAATGTGAGAGAATCTCTCCTGTCTTCACGTCTATTATCCTTGGGGAAGTGTTCTTTGCGGCTCCGTTGTCCAAGGTGCATCGCGTTCTCACCGGCTCAGCGCCCAGCTCCACTATGACGAATATTTCTTTACGGAGGCGGCCGGAAATGTTGAAAGCCAAGCTCTTCAAAAGCGTCTTGTCAGACTTATTTCAGGTGCCCTCCAATTAAGCGCTCGAGACCTGCAATTTGTCACGGCACCAATCGTAGTAATTTAGATTTAAGCACCCGTGCATGAACCATTTTCTTTCATGCAGGACGAGGCGGCAACCACTAAATTGTAGCCAGGCGATGTGTGTTCGCTGAAATACTGACTGGGACGTGGCCACGATTCTTATCCTCATACATTAACGGAACCTCTGCCGAGAGTTCGTGTCATGTCCTAAAACCCAAGTGACTCGTGTGGGTGAACAATTGACTGCGTAAGTGTCAATCAACTGCGTATAATGCTTGGGTTGTCGCTGAGAGACGATCATTTTGAAGAATTACCCACAGGGGGTCACTGTGTTTGCATACCTTCGCAAGCCTGCGTGAGCAGTAGTAGGCCGCAAATGCCTGAATCAGGTGTATTTCTGGTTGTTCACGGGCAGCAGGATCCCAATAATAAGGCTTAAATTCACTGTCGGCTACCGACTTACCACCCTTCCACCGTCGGAGCGCAGAAATCGACGACGTGAGATCCTTACGTGGGTGCAGTTGGTCGGCGCCGGCTGCCGGGGACCCCTTGCCAATCAGCGAGAGGGCATTTCGCATCCGAGCGCTTCATTTGTGCCAAGAATTTCCGAATTCGACTACCTCAAACAGCCAACATGTCAATTGAACGACGCTCCCTATTATTCTGACTTTCCCCTACCATTACTGTTACGAGAACGAGGCACCTAGATTCGCTCTCTGACCGGCGTGCTGACGATGAGAGTATATCGCGACTTTCCTTCGTGTGAAACTCAATTTTCCGTATAAAAGCCTTGAGACTCCTCACCAGTATGCAGTCGTCAAATCTCATCACAGCGCGACATGAAAAACTTATACCTACTTTCAACCTTGGCTTTCTCAGCGAGGGTCATCGCTTTTCCTGCCTACGCCTCATTGGCCGGCCTCAGCGAGCGGGATTTGGAGGCTATCATACCTACACTCGAGGCTCGAGAGCCCGCACCACCTCCAGGACCTCTGGAGGACACTTCCGCAAAATTGGTGAACGACAAGGCTCACCCGTGGAAACCCCTTCGACCGGGCGACATCCGTGGACCGTGCCCTGGTCTCAATACTTTAGCATCTCACGGGGTAGGTGCAAAATCCCGCCACGCCTTGCCACCAACTAACTGACAAGCACCCTCACAGTACCTCCCAAGAAATGGCATCGCAACGCCCGCTCAAATAATTACTGCAGTTCAAGAAGGTAGGATTCAACGTGGGGTTCCCGATTCTTACTTTGTTGCTGATGGAAATGAACAGGATTCAATTTCGCATATGGAATCTCACTCTTCACGACATATTCGGCGCACCTTGTGGACGGCAATCTTATCACGGACTTGCTTAGCATTGGACGCAAGACGAGGCTCACTGGGCCTGATCCCCCACCACCTGCCACCGTTGGTGGACTCAATGAGCACGGAACCTTCGAAGGTGACTATAAAATCTATCAACTCAGGGTGCTATGTCTGACATCTTCATCTAGGCGACGCTAGCATGACCAGAGGTGCTCCGCTTTCTTTAATCCCCCCTGTTCGTACTCAGGTAATGTTGCATCCTCCATAGGTGATGCATTCTTCGGCAACAATCATGATTTCAATGAGACGCTCTTTGAACAGGTGTGATGCATCCTACATGGCATATATCTGAAGGGCTAACAATTTTCAGTTGATCGACTACAGTAACCGATTCGGAGGAGGAAAGTACAATCTTACCGTCGCGGGGGAATTCCGGTTCAAGCGCATTCAAGACTCGATTGCGACGAACCCTGAATTCTCCTTCGTCAACTTAAGATACCTTACTGCCTACGGAGAGACCGCCTTCCCCGTCAACGTTTTCATAGATGGACGCAGGAACGACGGCCAGTTAGATCTCGACATTATGCGTGGATTTTTCCAATTCAGCCGTATGCCTGACGACTTCTTCCGTGCAGAGGGGTCGAGAAGCAACGGAGGAGTCGACGTGGTCATACGGGCTCATCCGATGCAGCCTGGAAGAAACGTCGGCAAGATCAACAGCTTCACCGTCGACCCTACGTCTGCCGACTTCTCCACTCCCTGCTTGATGTACGAGAACTTCGTCAACCAGACAGTCAAGGGACTCTACCCGAATCCGACAGGACAACTTCGCAAGGCGCTTAACACGAATCTCGGTTTCTTCTTCCTGGGGATAGACAGCACCTTCAATGGATGCACCCAGATGTTCCCATACGGGAGAGACTAATGCGACGGAGACAAGAAAGAGAGTGTCGGCAATAGTAGTTCTCAATTTGAATAGTTTGTAGATATCCACTCGTGCAAACCCACCCTCATGATCAAATGCCCTTGAGATTTTATGCCTGCCTTCACCTTAGCAATTCATTAAGGCTACTGTCAAGTTATGTAGCAGAGGCACCTTCCTTGTGATACTCAACCTGCGGCTTTCATTCGCATCCTTGTGTCCCTCCCATGCGCTTTTGCTCCTCCGAATCCCCAGTTTCTACTCCGTCTCGAGTACCAATTCAACGACACGAAACTTTCTCGCTGGAGGACTGCTGCATCCTCCTTCCGGTTTATCGTCGCCGCCTTGTTTCTCGTACGGTGTACTAAAAATAGATCTGACGCATTGAGAGTTTTGATCAGTATGTATGCCCCGCCTCGAAGCTTGATCCATCGATGTGAAACGTGGGAGGACGCCTTCCGCCGACATGATCGAATTTGAGAGCGAAGCTAAGAAGGGGACGATGAAGCCTCAAGGAAGAATGGGGCATCAGAAATCAGCATCAAGGGGAGATCCCAGTACTCAGCCCTCCGCCCTAGGGAATGGAAGTCGGCATGGGCTTGCGAACTCGAGCATCGAGCTCGCGTGGTGCCTTCAGGTTTCATGTCCCTAGTGGCGATGAAGATAAGAACGAATGTATGGACTTTGCTCAAGAATGGGATCGAAGGATGGCCGGGGCCACCAGGGATACGTTTGTTGTTCCATTCTATCTATCCCAAGCTGCAAACTATGTTGGCTGCGAGACTAGACAATCATTCCGAAGAAAAAATGGGCCTAGCTTCTCATATTTAAAGGCTAGCGTCGATATAGAGCGGTAATAAAGCAATTAGGAGTGAAATACGGAATGGAAGCTCTGGAGTATGCCATCTCGACACGTTTCTCTTCGGGATGATAAACTAGCCCTTGCGTGAAAGGTGAAATGCACTTCATATCATGACCTTCTGGCAGGACAGAAACTCTCGGGAGTAGCCTATGTGACAAGACACGAGAGTGAAATATTCTTTAGTTGAAAGAGGGCGTTAGCCAATCGGCTCGAGAGCAGGATGGAACGCCACATCAGCCTAAATTGGCAATAAAATTGCATGAATTCATTCGAAATAATAGGAAAAGTATAACAGTGAGAGTACCTCTGTAACTTCTTCCGTAGAAAATGCCCATATAATCTCTAGCCCACGGATATCGCTGGCATTGATACCGCCAATATCTGGACTCATTCCAGATCAACGATCTAACTCGGAACGATTCCGAATAGGCGATTCTATGACGGTCCGTTCTGGACAAAAATACACGATTGAAGTTTTTTTTATGAGAAACCCTAATTTAGGCCGGAGCCTGACCAAATCTGACCAAATCTGCCAGTTTCGTCCCGAGACCGACGCTATCCTCCCGGATCCACCATCTTCGCACCGTCTCTGCTCAATTCGGCCAGATCGACCCTCCCTTTTTTTATGACCCATCGTTCCGATACGGGAGGAATCTGGCCGCGCGGGACGATTCGGGACGATTCGTACGGATTCCTCCTCAATTCTTTTTTTAAGAAACATCTAGTGATTTTTTTCCCTCGTGTGTGGTCAGATTCGTCCCGAATCCGACCGTTTGGGACCTTGCGATCTAAAAAAATTATGGTTTTGGTCGGAATCGGTCGGAATCAGGGCGATGTGTTGCAGATCGGGAGCGGTTTTGGTTTTTTTTTTGGGTGGCGAACGAAGCGGGTCTAATCGGTGTGTTTCCTGCGGATTGGGACCGTATTGGACGGATTCTGCCTGAATCTGACAGATTGGAGAGGGACTTATGAGGAAAAAACGTAAATCTGTATTTTTGTCCAGTATGGCGCTCCATACGATTCAGAAACAGGCGATCGTAGTTTGATAATGCCACGAAAAGGAACTAGATATCTACCAAGGTCGAGTAAGATCCATGAGATGGGTGGCACAGGTTTAAGCCCAGACTTACGATAAGAAACCACTCGTGAGTTCGGCTCTGAGTCTGGTCGACTTGTCATCGTAAACTGCCAGGACAGACAAAACGATCGCGAAGAGTTGCCGCTTGTGCCCCGTGCAGCACAGTTTCTGAATGAAGTTCAAGGATTCAGCGGTTTGTTTCTCCATCATACAAAGCAGCACCGTGGTTTCGAGCGTTCGGATCCAACTGTGCGTCCTTGCGATAGTCCTTGGGCTAATACTTGGGGATTCGGAGACGATGGTTGGATCATGCAGAGTGCGCTTTCGAATATCCAAGGCCGGAATTTGAGGTTGCTTTACAACAGCTTCCAGCAAGCGAAGCGTACCACGAATTTCAGATGACAATAATCCTTTTCCGGATGAAATAACCGTTGTGCTCGTCATCCTTCGAGCACAGATGGACGACCACTGAGGATCCCAAGTCAGCACCACAAATCTGGAGACCGGAACGCACGTACTGTGGGTAGTAATCAATAGCCACCTCCCACAAATCCCGGGGAAAAATGCATTGCAGTGACTAATGAAGAGTAACGAATGATGCGCTGGTGAGTCAAACCACCCCATTTTCTTTCTTCCAGATTCTCGCAGATTCGCAGAGGTTTCTCGAATTATCGCTCGTTCAAAGGAAGGGGTGCTGGCTTCTTCACACACTCCGATATTCGACTCCGGGTCCGACTCGTTGGCCATGACAGTGCCCGCGTCCGAGAATGTTCGTTCGTTTATGACCGCTGGACCGTGCGTGGCCGAACCCGATCAATAATAGTTGCCAACAGGACCGTGGAAGAGCACAGAATCGCCCCAAAAACACGAAGGCAGCACTGCAACGCAGCCTCTTCAGAGCCAACGCTCAGCGTTATCGCCAATCCATCCCATTACATCGACGTCTGCAAATCAAAATTGTTGTCATGATCCTCACAGGTCTCGACATCAACATCGACTTTGTCTTTTCGATCCCATTACTTGCCTTTGTCATCGTCTTTGTTGCCGTCCACAAGCCGCAGGGTCCGTTGCTCATGCGATGTTTCCGAAAATGGCTTTCCAAGGACATAAAACCCCAACCTCCCATGAATGCGCATTTCCTGCGATGTCCCGTCTCTTGAGTCCTGCCCCGCCTTTACCCCCAGACGTCCTTCGCAGCAGCTGGCCTGTCGTCAGTGCCATTTCCTACACCACATTGACAAGCGTGTCTTGTCTATGTGCCGCGTTCTAAACAACCACTCTATTTCCTCGCTCTTCCCTCCCCTTGCGATCGCTCGCTCGAAAACGCATCGGCAAGGTGTACACCAACGACGCCAAGCGTCATAGCAGAATTTACCATAAGGTTCTCGACCCCCGTTATGCTAAGTACTAACATTGGGTACGCAGGTCATCCGATAGAGCTGCCATCCAGCAGCACAGTCCCATCGATTCGACTACGCTCGAGCGGCTGGGTTTCATGACACAGGTACGCCGAACAGCAAGTCGAGAGAAGGCTAGCGAGTGGATTGGACGCCCAATCCTCCGCCGCACGCCCGACTCCAACCGTGTCCTTTGGCAACAGAGAGCGGGGCCTTGGGTGAGGCGATGAAGGTGGCTGGGTTCGCTAACTCATCCACGCCGACTGCGTTATGGTTATGTCTAAGGCTGACGGCATTCAAGTTAGACATGACGGACCTGATTCTGCTGGGCCCGCCTGTCTGAATTTTGTGACCTGTTAGCGTCGAGCTGGGGTACAGGCAAGAGAAGAGGGAACCCTGACACAAATACGCCGTGAAATGCACCCATGACGGCGCCTAGTGTCGTTTTGAGAGGAAGGGGACTTCGAGACGTCATCGAGGCCCCCTCGTACGATATCTTCTGCAAGACGCGGGGCAATTGACCTGTTTGTTTGAGATGAGAAAAACGTAGATTTGAACCAAATCAGCCCGAATAAAGTGAAGAACGTCAGCCCCGAGTTCGAGTCCTCCACCCTTGAGACAGCATTTCCAAGGCCGGATATGCCGTCTCAAGGGTAGATACTCAGACCAGGAGAAACAACGACTGATGGGATGCAAAACGCCAGCCGACGCACTGCCCACTGCGTCCCTGGTATGAGTCGATAGGGTTGCAGAGAGGCGGCTGGAAAGTCGTTTCCAATCAGTCGTGACGAGTAGAGGGTAGTGTCGTCGATGCACTATCAACGACGAAACAGATAAACGAAGGATCCAGACTCACCCGTATGGCTGACACGCGCTGACGCGGTTGCAGCTGCTCACAACTCGCCCGAAATGTGTGCCCGATTGGCACGATGAGCATGTTATCGGATGCCATCGTGGTGGACAAAGATATCGAAGTGGCGCTCTCCAGGCCTCGAACAAGAGCGGGGAGTTTCGATGTTCTTGTGACCGCCAGAGACCGCTGAGGTCGCCTTGTCGTAACGAGATCTTCGAGAGTGCCAGTGAGCTCGCGCCCGAAAGGGAGCTGGGTTACAAGAGAGGGCGAGCTCAGAGAGGACAACAGCACCAACGACTCCGAAGAGTCAAACAAGGGCGCCGGCACTTGAGGGCAGGTGCAGTAAGCTCACGTGAGTATGACATTGGCGCTGCCCAGTCATTGTCAACTATGACAAAAGATTTTTCCCCTCTCGTCTATCATCTTTGGACAGTAGGTTGGTTTACGGTCCAACGTCAAGGACTCAGGCTTCATTGTGATACATGTTCCTTTACCGACTCTGGAGGCGGTGTGCAATGTCGAACGTCGAGCTCTTCAAAACTTTTTCGAAGCCAATTCAACTTATGAATACGGCATAAATACATATCTATGATATGTCCTTTCATTCCTTTCAAAGCCGGTCGTCGAGTCGTCGCAGTACTCTTCCCTCTGGGCGGCCCCACTTGCAATGACGCCGCGGGCCTCTACCATCTGGGCCCTAGAACGAGACAGCAGCGAAAGTCTTTTCGAAGGTGAATAACCTTTCGACGGGAGTTGTTTCAGTACATAAATTCCTGCGATGAACGGCACAATCCAGGTCCCTGTGATGCTACTCCAGATCTCGTTAAGTTCACCCCAACGCTCTTTTTCAGCCTAATTCGACCGTCTACTCCCATGACTTCCGTGGATAACGCACTCAAAAGGCGGTGAATACCCCTTATCTGCATTGAAAATTGATGAATGAAGTTCGATTGATTCTCGTCTGTAGGGTTCGCGAACGTTCCTTCCTCTCAGTTTGCTTCATTTCACAGGCAGCCTCAGAATATGCGTTGATTGCGTGCTCAGATCTCCGTTATCTTGTCCACGATTCTTATCTTCACACATGAACAGAGCGTCTGCCAAGAGTGTGCTCATACGGGCCTGGAATGTCCTTCTATTAGAGAGCCGCCATAGGTGCGTGTGGGCCATATGGCTGAATAACCGACTCCAGAAATATCACATCTACTGCGTATAGGGCTCTGAATGTTGTCGAGGACAGTGACAACCATTGGGAAGAAATTGGCCATGAAGAAAAGGCATCACCACGCTTGCGTAGTATCGGCTCCCATGACTGGCGAGGGACCCGACTGCCTGCGCGATAAGTAGTGAACTCTAGAGGCTTCGAAAATCAGTGCCGAAATGCCAATCCTTCCACTTCGCAGGGGGCAGGTCTAAGTACATCGACGTGAGAGCTTTGGGTCGGCGCAGCTGGTTGCTGCCAGCTGCCGTGGTGCGACGGCCAACCGGATTGCCTCGACCACTGGCAATTCGAATGGCAGGCATCTGCGGCCAGCTTGCCAATCAACGAGAGGGCATTTGTAGTGCGCTTCCTATAGAGCGCTTCTTTCGTGCCAAGTATTTCCATATTTGACTCCGGCGGCTTGAGCTGCCGAGACGGCGTCTCCTTCCGCGACTCCTGTTACGAGAACGAGGGGTGCGATGTAAAAACATTTACTCCCTGGCCAGCCCACTTATGATGTGAGCATATATCGAGCTTGCTTCGTGTGAGATTTCGAGTGAGTCGTTTCTCCGTATAAAAACCATTGTTCCTCACCAGCATGTAGTCGTCAAATCCCAGCACAGTGCGACATGAGGTACTTCTACCTGCTCCCAACCTTGGTCCTTGCCGCGAGGGTTATTGCTTTCCCCGCCTATGGGTCATTGGCCGGCCTCAGTCAGCGGGAATTGGATGCTATAATTCCGACACTCGAGGCTCGAGAACCAGCACCACCTCCTGGACCTCTGGAAGATAGCTCTACCAAATTGGTGAACGACGAGGCTCACCCGTGGCAACCACTTCAACCAGGCGACATTCGTGGACCTTGCCCTGGTCTCAATACTCTGGCGTCTCATGGAGTATGTGCAAATTCTCGTCGGGCAGCCAACTAACTGACAAGCACCCTTGCAGTACCTTCCGAGAAATGGCGTCGCAACCCCAGTGCAAATAATTAACGCCGCTCAAAAAGGTAGGACTCAGCGTGGGGCTCTCGATTCTTACATCGTTGCTAATGTATATAAACAGGATTAAATTTCGCCAACGGAGCCGCAATCTTCGCAGCATATATGGCAATTCTTACCGATGGCAATCCCATCACGGACTTGGTGAGCATTGGAAGCAAGACGCCGCTCACTGGACCAGACCCCCCATCCCCAGCTATCGTTGGTGGACTTAATACCCATGGGACCTTAGAAGGTGATTATACCGCTATTGGCTCCGAGCGCTGTGTCTGACATCTTCCTTTAGGCGACGCGAGTTTGACCAGAGGTACTCCGTTTTCTTTGATCCTCTACTGAGCGAATCCTGCATCCTTCATAGATGATGCATTCTTCGGCAACAACCACGATTTCAACGAGACGCTGTTCGAACAGGTGCAATTTTTGTTCAAGTTGTATGGCATATATGTGAGGGGCTAACAAATTTTAGTTGATTGACTTCAGCAACCGGTTTGGAGGGGGAAAGTACAATCATACCGTCGCGGGGGAGTTAAAGTTCAAGCGCATTCAAGACTCGATTGCGACCAACCCCGAATTCTCCCTTGTCAACAATAGGTACTTTACCGTCTATGGAGAGTTACCGGTCACCCTCTTCGTTGACGGACGAAGGGGCGACGGCCAGTTGGATCTAGACGTTATGCGTGGATTTTTCCAATTTAGCCGTATGCCTGACGGCTTCTTCCGTGCAAACGGATCGAAAAGCAACGAAGGCGTCGACATTGTCAGGCTGGCTCACCCTGTGCAACCTGGAAGAAACATGGGCACAGTCAACAGCTATACCTTTGATCCAACATCCGCCGACTTCTCCACGCCCTGTTTAAGATACGAGAACTTCGTCAACCTAACGCTTCAGCCACTCTACCCGAATCCGACTGGACAACTCCGCAAAGCACTCAACACGAATCTCGATTTCCTCTTCCGGGGGGTGGACAGGGCCCTTGGATGTACCCAGCTATTCCCATACGGGAGAGATCGATGACGCGACGGAGACAAAAAAGAGAGTTCACCCGTGTCGACAGCAGTTTTCCTTTCCGATATCCACTTGTATAACCCACCCTTATGATCAAATGTCCCTACTATTTCACTCGATGACGGAAAATGTGTCCTGATCTGTGGTTCTGGCGACTCAAAGATGGCGTTACGCTAGTTCTGAAATCATGTGGACTTGTGTCGGAAGGAAAGATTCAAAGTGACCGACGAGATAAGCCCTAATTTAGTACTGAAAGCAGTACTCTTGTGAATGTGTACGAGATCCTCCTCTCGCGCCGTGCCTTTATCTCTATACACCATCCGAAGTTCTGCAACATAGGTTAAATTTACGCCTGCACTCTTTCTCGGCTTCTGGATATCTAATTTCCCTGCTCCATGATTGCTCCAGGGGATAGAGTAATCAAGTGCTTTTCATAGTCAAGCTCGGATTATGCGTTCGCACACGTGCTAAATATAGAACCGACAGGAAAAGTTTCGCATCATCAAGGATACCCACTGGCATATGAGAACGAGAGCGCTCTGGAAATCTGGAAAAGATTCAAGGCTTCAACTTTCAACACCAAGAGGCAGATCCTCTACTCTCTAGCGACTAGGTTCATCTCTGATAGTCTAAGATGGAATCGGCGAGTAGCCTGCAAACGTCAAAATCCAGGCTAGCAGCCTCAAACGCAGGGCACGGATTCGACTTCTACCTCGACGAGTACGTCTGGGATGTCGAACGCCCAGATTCAGAGACGACCCCGGAGAAAAAGACATCTCGCGGATACTTATCGTGCCCGTCCCAGTGTCCGAGTGTCCACTGACCAAAACCAAGACGGACGTCAGGCAAAGTCGAACAGCACACGCATAGTGATACCCTGAGAACTCTACAATACCGAATTGAAGCTTAAAGAGACATCAGGAATATTTTGCTTATTGAGAAGAGAAGAAGAAGCCGTACGATTCACCGAAGCTAAGAACCAGTGTTCGTATATACCCCATCAGCCGCGTCTTGCTGCCCGGCCGGGCCTGCCCTCCGCCCCTCCCAGATCCACCCAATTAAATACCTACGCCTTCAAGCCTCAGGCCTCAAGCCTCAAGTTGCGCTTGGTCGTGTTAGAGACGCGACGTATACCCCCCAATAAACAGGGTTATCTTCCAAATATGAATTGAATTGAATCTCTGGGACGAGGGTATTTATCTGAAAAGTGTTCTGGGTAAACCTGGAACAGGAAACTGTAGTATATTGTAAACTTGTCCACAAAATAGTGCAGATGCATTACACGGTCAAATGAGTCCAATGCCCGCAGTGAAATCTGAGTGTTGACGTGAGAGCCTTACGTAGGCGCAGCTGGCCAGCGCAGCTACCGAGGGCAGTTTGCCAATCAACGAGAGGAGATTTCGTATCCCAGTGCTTCTTTCATGCCAAGAATTTCTGGATCTGACAAGGCATAGTGCAGGATGCGTGTATTCGGTCTGTGAGCCGGAATGCTGACGACGTATGTATTGCAAGCTCCCTTTGTGTGCGGTTCATTGCTTGGTATAAAAGCTTCGCCCCTCTCCAGTATCTAGTCGTTAAATCAGATCTCAGTACAGCGCAACATGAAATACGTCTCATTACTCCCAGCCTTCGTCCTCGCTGCGAGGGTTGTCGCTTTCCCAGCCTATGCCTCATTGGCTGGCCTCAGCCAGCGAGAATTGGATGCAATAGTTCCTACACTCGAAGCTCGAGAGCCCGCACCACCTCCTGGACCTTTGCCGGACACCTCTGCGAAATTGGTGAACGACAAGGATCACCCGTGGAAGCCACTTCGACCAGGCGACATCCGTGGACCTTGCCCTGGTCTCAATACTTTGGCGTCTCATGGGGTATGTGCAGACTAGCCGCTGTGTCGCCAACTAACTAACAAGCATCCTTGAAGTACCTTCCCAGAAATGGTGTCGCAACGCCAGCTCAAATAATCACTGCGACGATGGAAGGTACGACTTAAACGGGGGTTCTCGATTCTTACTTCGTCGCCGATGTCTGTTGGCAGGATTCAATTTCAGATATGGCCCTGCACTCTTCGCGACATATTCTGCGCACCTTGTGGACGGCAATCTTATCACGGACTTGTTGAGCATTGGAAGCAAGACGCGGCTCACTGGGCCTGATCCCCCACCCCCCGCCACCGTTGGTGGACTCAATGAACATGGCACCTTCGAAGGTGACTACGAATCTATCGACTCCAGGTGTTGTCTGACATTCTTCTTCAGGCGACGCTAGCATGACCAGAGGTGCTCCGCTTTCTTTAATCCCCTCTGTCCGTACTCAGGTAATGTTGCATCCACCATAGGTGACGCATTCTTCGGCAACAATCACGATTTCAATGAGACGCTCTTCGAGCAGGTGTGATGTTTCCTACATGGCATATAACCGAGGGGCTAACACCTATTAGTTGGTTGACTATAGTAACCGGTTTGGAGGAGGGAAATATAATCTTACCGTCGCGGGGGAGTTCCGGTTCAAGCGTATTCAAGACTCGATTGCGACCAATCCAGAATTCTCCCTCGTCAACTTAAGATACCTTGCCGCCTACGGAGAGACCATCTTCCCTATCAACGTTTTCATAGATGGACGCAAGAATGATGGCCAGTTGGATCTCGACGTTATGCGCGGATTTTTCCAGTTCGGCCGCATGCCTGACGACTTCTTCCGCGCAGACGGGTCGAGAGACAACAGAGGAGTCGACGTCGTCGTACGGGCTCATCCTGTCCAGCCCGGAAGAAACGTCGGCAAAGTCAACAGCTTCACCGTCGATCCCACATCCGGCGACTTCTCCACCCCCTGCTTGATGTACGAGAATTTTGTCAACCAGACGGTCAAGGGACTCTACCCGAATCCGACAGGACAACTTCGCAAGGCGCTTAACACAAACCTGGATTTCTTCTTCTTGGGGTTAAACGGCACCTTCAACGGATGTACCCAGATATTCCCATACGGCCAAGATTGATTCAAGACAGGGGCAGGAAAGGCAGTTGAGCCGTGTCGATAGTAGCAGTTCTCTTTTTTCATAGTTCGTTGAGATCCACTTGTGTAAATCCACCTTCGTGATCAAATGTTGTATCCCATCGAAGCTCCATGGAAATAATGCCTACCTGGATGTACGCAAACAGGGACGGGGAATAGCGGTCGTGAGGGCCTGCGAGATAGATACGCAGAAACTCAGCACCACAGTCGGAGCTGTGACGGTGGGGTGCCTGACAACTCCCGAAGACGGTAGGAATACTGCTTAAGCTCTCACGAGACTGAAGAATCTGCACCTCCAATGCACGAAGTCCTGAGGGGTGAGCCACACCTCCGTCTGCTATGTGCATGTGAGATCAATATCTATAGGCACTGCAAGTGGCGCGCTGTCGAATTTATACTGCACAGAGCATCGGGAGCAGGGATTGTAGGAACGGGGCCAGAGACAGAAACTCCAAGGAGGAGTTTTCGCCGTCCAAATTGATCCATAGATAAAATATAATCGTGCAGAGAGAAGATCGTTTGGACGCGTGAGATACAGCAACTTCAGACACCTAGAAAGCCCATGCGCTGACGTCGCCAATCGGGTGCGGAGTCGTCAATGAACGGCTGGCCAGATAGATGGACCTCAGGGGCTCTCCCTGCTGCAGCTGCCATTCACGAGCAGCTTTCAGTCTACTGAAAGAGACAAGTGCAGAAGCGGAAGAGAGGTTCCTGTCCAGAGATGATGCACAAAGCGTGAAGGGGAGAAGAATGGAGAGTAGACGTCAAGGGACGACATAGGATGACATGTTGTAAACAACCTGGGAAATTTGTTGCCAGTAAGTATGCAGCCGAGTGGTTATTCCGAGAAGATCTTGCCAAACAGGTACAATCTCGAGCTCAACGTCCGATTCGAGGCCCTCAGACTCAATTTCCTCCCCCACCATCTACAGGCACCATCCAGTCGATGAGCCAGCATTCCGCCCGCTGACAATCGTCTCGCTTGGATCTCTTCTCTGACGGATAGATGCTAGGACGCCTTTTGTGATAGGCAAGGGGTTCGGCCACTGCATGCAGCGTCTCCTCTACACCTCCTTGTCCTCGCTCTCCTCGCCCATACGCCAGCCACTAAAGACACATGACGAACCTTGAGACGTCCTGTATATCTCCCCGCTCGGTATCCGGCAAGAATGGATGTGGGAGACACAGTGAAGAGGATAAAACCCGCGTACGATATGGGAGGATTCATGTTGTGGGTACAGAAGGCGATCAGGAAGATAGAGGTGGAGGTGCGGGTCGAGAGGACGAGGGGGAGACGTGTGACGAACGGAAGAAGGGCGAGCAGTAAGGGTAATTTAAGCGGTACGTTAACTTTGTCAGGGCCCGTCTTTTGACGTTTCAATAATACTATACTACCGTTTAGTGGCTTATCTGGAATAATGCAGATCCCGTGTATCCTCAATTCAACTTGTGTGTAGGCGATTAACGAACTCAGATGCGACATGAGAGTTCCTCCGCGGCGAATAACCATCTAGCTGTGATGGCCATGGCTCAAGCCGCCTTGTGGCCAGGCTGCGTCACGTATGGACTTGTCTAGCTTGAACGAGTGAAAGCAGACTTCCCCTCTGCCTTCAGCAATACCCCCAGGACATGTAGTCTCAATGACCACCCTCTCGTTTTAATTTGTGAGAAGACGATCGTTCTATGCGATCCCCGTATCGCTCTTTGCGAACACCTCCCTCAATATACAGGACATGCAGGTCTATGCCTCAGGTCTAGGGGACATTATTCCCTCCCCTCCTTCCCAACTTCTCCCAATTCCTTCCTCCTTTGCAATCTCGGAACACCGCCGGTTGCTTTATCAATCGCACGTAACGTTCTTCGAGTCCTAGTCCGACCCGTTGGCGATGACAATGTCGGTGTCCTCGAACGTCCATTCGTTCATGATCATTGGACCGGGCGTATCTGAATACGATCGACAATTACCGACATTGAACAGGACCATGGAAGAACAGCGTCGCTCGATTCTTTAGGCAACGAAACGCAAAGGCAGCACAGCACCGCCGCTCTTTCAGTTTCTTTTCAGAGCTCAGTGTTATCGTTCATCCATCGCCCATCACATAACATCGATATTGACATTATCATTTCGATGCCATTCTTTGTCTTTGTCATCGTCTTTGTATTCTCTGTGACACCATCCCGACCCTCTCCGTCTATCTTTGGTCTGGGACTGGTTCCCGTACGTCTCAGGTTCAAATTCACAATCTACTTAACCGAGAGGTGTAGAGATTAAAATATTGCTTTGACTTCATGACACGGCTCTAGCCTTTAGTGAACCACTGCGACGCATATTGTGACGTGAACCTGACACGCGCTGCATTAAATGTATGGTACAATCTCTTTGTTACATCTAAATGGACTTCTGGTGAAGCTTACGAAGAAAGTTGGTTGCTGTGGGGCGCGCTGCGACGAGAATTAGCGCCCATCCAACCAGCGGTTCCCACAGTCCAATCCAGATCGCGCACTTTGAACACGACGCGAAATCTTGCAGAGGTTATTGAATAAAACCTATCTATAATGTAATACGTGGTCTGAATACATGACATGCACAACCTCTGAATTTTATTCCCCCCTTCCTTCCCCCACAGTTCCCGCCCCTGTTGTCGGTATTCGAGGTCCTTGACCCCTCCGCCGTCGCACCATGCGCTGTTTTTGATGTGAATCAACCGCTCAGCCTCGGTAATCGCCGTTTCGGAAGCTTGACAGTCTGGCTTTCCATGTCAAAGAGGAAAGGATGCTTTATTTTGTTCTTCTCTGCTCAATTTTCTCACACCTACATCCACCTCTGCAGAATGAGGGGAGTATACGAAGGGCACCCACACTTACTAGGCTCTCGTCACAGCGCCCGAAATGTTGACTCAAAAGCTGGGCAATTGACTCGGAGCATTGGGCACCGGACGACGACGGCGTCAGCGTCGGCGCTTGTCAGCCGTTAATGCGACTCCGAGTCAGACGGGGATCTGGGGGTCGGCCGAGCTTGAAGGAGACGCGTGTATGGGGACCCCGTGCAATGTCGGGCGCGTGCGTAGATATCGGGGTTCGAGGGTGTTCGAGAATAGACGCGCGTCTAGAGTCTGGGGACCAACTCCTCCTGATCGATCGCCTCTCCCGCCGGCACGGAACCAACTGGATAATCGTGGACAATTATACGTCGGCGGAGGCGGGTGGAACGTGGCGGGCGTCATTACGCCCTCCTACTCTAATTGGTCAGAGAGGCGTATTTACACAAGTAGATATCTGGGAGCTATGGAAAATGCGAACTACTTAGCCTATTGTTGACAAGATTGAATTCTCCTCTCCCTGTTTCATCAATCCTGCCCATATGGGAATATCTGGGCACATCCAGCAGTGATGTTTACTCCCCTCCAGAAGAAATCGAGATTCGTCAGAAGTGCTTTGCGAAGCTGTCCCGTTGGATTCGGGTAGAGTCCCTTGACTGTTTGGCTGACGAAGTTCTCATACGATATGCAGGGGGTGGTCAAGTCGCCGGATGTTGGATCAACGGCGTAGCTATTGACTTGTCCGGAATTTCTTCCGGGCTGCACAGGATGAGCCTGTAGGAGCACGTCGGTTCCTTCGCCACTCCTCGGTCCATTCGCACGGAAGAAGTCGTCAGGCAACCGGCCGAATTGGAAAATTCCGCGCGCGGCGTCTAGACCCAACTGGCCGTCGTTCCTGCGCCCATCCACGAAAAGGTTGATAGGGAAGACGGACTGTCCGTAGGCGGTAGCGTATCTATAGTCGACGAAAGAGAATTCGGGGTTGGTCGCAATCGAGTCTTGAATGCGCTTGAACCGGAACTCCGCCGCGACGGTCAGATTGTACTTTCCTCCTCCAAATTGGTTACTGTAGTCGACCATCTAGAAGATTTTAGCCCACTAGATATGTACCATGTAGGAAACATCGCACCTGTTGGAAGAGCGTCTCATTGAAATCATGGTTGTTGCCGAAAAATGCGTCGCCTATGCGGATTGCAGGATTAGGTCCCGCCAGTTGGGCGGATTAAATAAAGAGAATTGATCACCTCTGGTCAAGCTAGCATCGCCTGAATAAAATGTCAGGACATAGCGCCCCGAGTTGATAGATTTATAATCACCTTCGAAGACCTCATGGGTATTGAGTCCACCAACTGTAGCAGGGGGTGGGGGATCGGGCCCAGTGAGACGCGTCTTGCGTCCAATGCTCAGCAAGTCCGTGATGAGATTGCCGTCTACAAGGTGTGCCAGATATGTCGCGAAAATCGCGGCACCATTGGCAAAATTGAATCCTGTTAACATACATCAGCAAGGAAGGAAAAGTCAAGCACCACTTTGAATCGCACCTTCCTGGACTGCGTTGATTATTTGCACTGGGGTTGCGACGCCGTTTCTGGGGAGATACTACGAGGGTGTTTGTCAGTCGATTGGGGACGTGACGGCAGTTTGCACACACCCCATGAGACGCCAAAGCATTGAGAGCAGGGCAAGGTCCACGGATGTCGCCTGGTCTAAGGGGTTTCCATGGGTGAGCCTCATCGTTCACCAATTTGGCAGAGGCGTCCTCAAGAGGTCCAGGAGGTGGTGCTGGCTCTCGAGCCTCGAGAGTAGGAACGATGGCTTCCAATTCCCGCTCGCTGAGGCCGGCCAATGAGGCATAGTCTGGAAAAGCGACGACCTTTGTCGCAAAGAATAAGGCTGGGAGAACGTAGAAGTATTTCATGTCGCACTGTGCTGGGTTTCGACGAGGGCTTACTGGCGAGGAGCAAGGCCTTTATACAGCAGAATAAATCTCACAACGAGAAAATCACCATACATATGTCGTCAGCGTGGCGATTCACAGAGCGAATGAGCTCATACTGATATCTTCTTGTCCTCGTAACACTCACCGAAGGAGAAGGTCAGAATGACTGGCTGCTTTCTTCAAGTGGCCGGCCAAGCCAGTCAAATCCGGAAATTCTTGGCCATGAAAGAAGCGCTCGGATGCGAAATACCATCTCGTTGATTGGCAAGCAGTCCACGGCGGACACGGCGGCCGGATCCACCCACGTAAAGTTCTCGCCTCGACGCAGAAATGCGCACCCCGAAGTTGAAGGCGAGTGTTTCGGAAAGTCGATATCCGGCGTGCATGACACTGAATTTCTAAGCCTTGATGCTGAGAAGCTCTTGTTCACGCCTTTCTTTTTTCAACAGCTCGTGGACAGCCAGTGGGACACACGTTTCAGGCTTTTAGTGCCCGTTCAAACCCGCTCACAGAAGCAGTAGGGTCCCAGGTCTTGCAATGGCTGTACACAAGATATATTGTGCTCGACAAGAGCCAATTTCCACTGGGTCGGTGTTCAGAGCTTTGGCGTTCGAAGAACTGGCCTCGTGTGCTGTACACCGAGCATCCCCACACTTACTCAGCGCATCGCTCAAAAAGGGTGGATGTCGACTCGAGAGTAGAGCGCCGAAGGACGACGCCAGGTTGCCGTCAGCGCTTGTCAGCTGCCGACGGGTCTCCGAGTGCAGGAAGTCCGAGTCCGACGGGCATTCGGGGTTTGGCCGAGGTTGAAGAGAACGCATGGGTGGGTGCACCGGACAGCGTCGGGCTGCCTGCGCAGGCGTCGAGGATCGTCTGGGATCATCGAAAGTGTGCCATTCGGTGTCTGAGAATAGATGCACTTCTCGAGACTGGGACTGGCTCTAGTGAGACGAGGACGAGGGCAAGACTCGCCAGTCGGCGAGTCATAGTTCAATGAACAAGTTATATCTATAACCATTGGTGGCCCGAGCGTTGGAAGGATAGTAGTGGCGTCGGATGGAAGACACGACTTACGAGAGACTGGTGAACGCATCGGGAGCCTCTGGGACGAACTCGACGCAAGACAGACTATGGCACTGACAAGAAAGCGGTGGAGGCGGCGACACATACGAAACGATTTCCCTGTCGTGCTCGGCTCGCCAACTAAGCCACTTCCTCATTGATTGCGCCTCCCGCCAGCGAGAGCGGAGGCAGGCGGAAGGTGGGTGGCTGGATGACGCGCTGACCTGATCAGGTAAGTGATTGAGAATCGGGATCGGGCAGTCGGCACGAACGAGCGCTGGGCGTCGGTCCTCACTCACCGCTGAATTTAGATATGTAATGGGTCCAACGACACCTCCCAAGTTCGATTGCAGAACAACATATTTGCCCCCAGATTTTGACTGCTTGTTCTGCCACTGGCATCAGGGAGCGAACCCAGATTCGCCGGCGCATGAGGCTGGAGGTTGGGCAGGCATGCTCATCAGCCAGCAAGAAAATAACGTGCGCAGAATCTCCTTCAGATGACAGTGCTAGAAGGCCTACCTCCAATGAATTGCACGAAGCAACGTCCAGGATTTTGAGATCACTCTTACTGAATGCCTTACCTTCCTCTTCGTAGCCAACTTCGATACGCATTATGGTCTCTTATCAAACCTCGGGGCCTTATCGCATAAACGCCTCACCCCCTCGTGCTAATCCTATCTTATCTCTTACGCACATCCACAGCGCTCACCGCGCCCCCAGCGCATGTCTCGACCCCACTGTCCAGAATTCGAAGCTGCGAACAACTCTAAACTCCCACTCCGCTGTCTGCAAATCCCTTGTTCCGAGAGGACCTTCGCTGAAAATTTCTCTTATGCAAACCGATGCAAGCTGATTAGATTACTTGCCCCCACCTCTCCGCGTACCTTCGATCTAATCGCCTGCAGGACCTACTGGACCTCCAGCTCGGCACGATGAGCCACAATTCAACGGTACGCCTTCATCCAAGGTCTTGACTTCTGCGTCTACAAATTGACAACTCCACCATCTCAGTGACACGTCAGTCGAGCTTAGGGAAGCCTTCGTCCTCAGGTGTCCTTAGCAGCGGCTGCTCCGTTGTCGGGGCCGTTTCTAACCCTAAAAGCGTGTCTTATATACGGGCTGCGCTCGACACCTCCTGCGCTGGTCACCTCATGGTCTTGCACTCGTGAGCTTCTCTCTCCTCGCCCTTGTTCGAAAACGCATCGACGTACACGAACGACGCACTGTCGCAGCTCCTACCGCAAGGTCGTTATGCTAACAATGGATCTGGTGAAAGCAGTTCATCAGATAGAGGGGCCATCCAGCAGCGCAGTGCCATCGATTCGACCGCCCTCGAGCGGCTGGGGTTCATGATGTCGGTATGCCGAACAGCAAGGCGAGAGAAGGCGAGTAGGTGGATTGGACGTCCGCAGGCATCAATCCGCCGCACTTTGTGCAAAGCGTTGAAAGCAGCTATGTTCGCTTTTGTCCATGGCAGCTGCATTGTGTCTGGAATCATTAGCAGAGAAATGGAGGCATCGCGCAGTCGCCGATGTCCTCAATGTTTGGATACTTTGCTGCAGGATGCCGAGTAATTAATCTATTCGCTTGAGATGAGAAACTTGAAAACGCAAATCTGAACCAAATCATCCGCGAATAAAGTGAATGGCGTCGGTCCCCGAGTTCGAGTCCTCCGCCCTTGAGACAGCAGTTCCAAGGCCGGATATGCCGTCTCAAGGGCAGATACTCGGACCAGGAGAAACAGCAGCCGATGGGATGCAGAACGCCAGCCGACGCACTGCACACCGCGTCCCTGGTATGAGTCGACAGGCCTGCAGAGAGGCGGCTGGAAATTCGCCTCCAATCGGTCGCGACGGGTAGAGGGAACGCCGTCGATGCACACACCAGCAACGACGAGAAGGATAAACGAAGCATCGAAAGATCCAGACTCACCGGATATGGCTGACACGCGCAGACGCGGTAGAAGCTGCTCCTGACGCGCTCGAAACGCGTGCCCGATCGGCGCGATGAGTATGTTATTGGATTCCATCGTGGCGGGCGAAGATGTTGAAGTGGCGCTTCAAGCTTCAGGCTTCAGCTTCAGGCCTCGAACAAGAGCGAGGAGTTTCGGCATGCTTGTGACCGTCAGGGCTCCCCATCGTCGTTTTACAGGGAATCATCGAGAGTGAGGTCGCGCCCGAAAGAGAGCTAGGTTGCAAAAGGGGGCCAAGCCTAAGCTCAGAGAGGTCAACACCAGCAGCGAAAGGGCGGAGGCACTTACAGTTAACTTAAGGGCGGAGGCACTTACAGTTAACTTAAGGGCCGGTGCGGTAAGCTTACGTGAGTATGAAACGGGCGGCGCCGCACTTCGGAGGTCCAACACCTCTTTCCCAGTCAACTATGTCAAAAAATTTAATCCCCTCTCGTCTATCATCTTCGGACAGCGATCTGCGTGATCCCTGTCATCCAAGGCTCGTCACGTTGGTTTTCGGCCCAATGTCAAGGACTCAGGCTTCAGTATGACACATGTTCCTTTACGGACTCCAGAGGCGGTGTGCAACGTCGAATTTCGAGCTCTTCAAAAGCTTCTTAACAGGCAATACGCCTTATGAATCCAACACAAATACCTATATAAGTGCAAGCCACTCCGAATTTCATTTATTACTAGTAACCGTCCGCTAAGCGCCAAGTAACGCGTACCGCCACGGCACCAATCACAGCCATCTTTATTTAAGCGCCCGCCGTATTTCATTCAGGCGGAAATTGGGCGGAAACCTTTAAATTGTAGACAGAATAATTTCACTGAAATACCCACTGTGCAGGCTCCAGACATTAGGGGTAAATTGTGGAATATCCTCGCCCGGCTTGGCTACGATTTTCATCCTCACACATCGATGGCGCTTCTGCCAAGGGTTCGCATATGCCCCAGCACGTTTTTATATTCGGATTTAAACAGGTATCTCGCTTACCTTTGATGAACCGCAGCAAAAGAAGTAAAAGTATGCGCTGAACAAAAGCTTCGCAAAACCAAGGCTTAGAAATACAGTGCCGTACGCAGTCCTGATGCTACCCAAATGCCACCTTTCAACTTCGGAACGCGAGCGTCTACATCAACTTGAGATATTTACGTGGGCCGGCGGCCGGGGCGCTGTTTGAGCTGCGGGGGGCTAGCTTGCCAATCAGCGAGAGGGGATTTTGTTTCCGAGCGCTTCTTTCATGCCAAGAATTTCCAAAAACGATTAGTTCGAGCTTCCACATGTCGCTTGAAGAAAGCAGCCTCTCATTATAACCGTCTTCTTCGACGACTACTGCGAGACCGAGGTACGAGCATGGGCATATTAACTCCATGGCCCGGGGTGCCGACGATGTGAGCGTTTGGCGAGCTTTCTCCGTATGAGAGCCATTCCTCTCTATAAAAGCTTCACTCCTCGCCAGTATGCAGTCGTCACAACCCAACCCAGTGCGACATGAAATACTTCTCCCTACTCCCAGCCTTGGTCTTTGCGACGAGGGTCATCGCGTTCGCCTCCTATGCCTCATTGGCCGGGCTCAGTGAACGAGAATTGGATGCTATCATTCCTACGCTCGAAGCTCGAGAGCCAGTTCAACCTCCTGGACCTCTTGCGGACACTTCTGCCAAATTGGTGAATGACAAGGCTCACCCGTGGAAGCCGCTTCGCCCAGGTGATATTCGTGGACCTTGTCCTGGTCTCAATACTTTGGCGTCTCATGGGGTACGTCCAAAAATCCGTCAACACTTCCGATCAACTAACGAACAAGCTGTCAGTACCTCCCAAGGAATGGCATTACAACTCCAGCGCAAATGGTAACTGCAGTCCAGGAAGGTAGGATATAAAATGGGGTGCTCGATTCTTCTTATTTCGTTGTTGATGCATCTTAACAGGTTTTAACTTCGAAAATGGAGCCGCAATCTTCGCAACGTATGCGGCTCACCTTGTGGTCGGAAATCTCATCACGGACTTGCTGAGCATTGGAGGCAAGACGCGCTCACTGGGCCTGCTCCCCCACTCCCAGCCACCGCTGGTGGGCTAAGTGAGCATGGACTCTTCGAAGGTGACTATAGACCCACCAGCCCCACACGATGTGTCTGACATCTTCACTTAGGCGACGCCAGCATGACCAGAGGTGTTTCGCATTCTCTAAGCCACCCAATTACTGGCTAACTTTCCGGCATTAGCTGACGCATTCTTTGGCAACCATGATGCCTTCAACGAGACGCTCTTCGAACAGGTGCGATTTTTTCTACCTGGCATGTGTGATGTATCTGAGGGGCTAACAAATTTTAGTTTGTTGAGTACAGTAATCGATTTGGAGGAGGGAAGTATAACCTTACCGCCGCGGCCGAGCTCCGGTTCAAACGCATTCAAGACGGGATTGCGACCAACCCTGAATTTTCCCTTGTTGGCCTTCGATATTTTGCCGCCTATGGAGAGTCCGCCGCCCCCGTCAACTTCTTCGTGGATGGAACCGTAGTTCGACGGCCATGATAGCCGCGGGGATTTTTCCAATTTAGCCGCATGCCTGACGGCTTTTTCCGTGCAAACACGACGAAAGGCAGCCAAGGAGTCGACGTGATCATACAGGCCCATCCTGTGCAGCCCGGAAGAAATAACGGCCAAATCAACAGCTACACCGTCGATCCAACGTCCCCCGACTTTTCGAACACCTGTTTGTTGTACGAGAACCATGTCAACAAAACGGTCAAGGGGCTATACCCGAATCCGAAGGGAAGACTTCGCAAAGCACTTCTCGCGAATCTCGATTTCTTCTGGAGGGGGGTTAACAGCACTGCTGGATGTGCCCAGGTATTCCCGTATGGGCGAGATTGAAGAGACAGAGAAGAGAGTTCAAACTTCAGTCGCATCGACAGTAGCGGGTCACATTTTCTCTTGCAGATATCTACTTGCATACGCCTTCATGATAAGTAAAGTCACCTTGAAAATTATATACATACCATCGGATTTTGAGAATGCTGCTTTCAAGTTAAGCACCTCGGACTAGTTTCTATCACCGGATCACAGGGCCATATGTATGTCTGTCCTCCGATTCGTCCATCCTGCTCATGATATCAGGCTTCAGCATAGGGACGAAGGAATATAATTCTCAGAATTCGTCTCGAGAGTCGAGGCGTACGGCAGCCTATCACAGCACGTACAAAAGACTCGTACACCCAACTCGGGCGCCGACTCACCAGTCTCTCCAGGTACTGGAGGACCCTCGGTACTTGCTTTCAGCTTTCCGTTACTGTGCACTCCATGGCGAAGTGCGTTTCGAAGCTTCCCGGTACGTGAACGGTCCCCCGGGCCGGTGACGCCAGCTGATCGTCGTTGGACGAGTCAGGGATAGGTACAGTGGGGACGCCGGACGTGCGAAGATTAAAGAACTTTGGAGCAAGGAATCAACTAGAACCACTTTACTGTCATACCTACCCCAAACGCATCGCGTTGACCCTTCCATTATCCAGACCTCGTGTTAATTGTGATATCCCTGCCATCGCGAAGGGGCAACGAGGCTCTCGTCGGGTTGAACAATTTCCAGGGAATTCAAGAACCCCTAGCCCAAGTCGCGCGCGTCGGTCCGACGCGTACTGCCCATAATGATAATGCAGCCTTGCGGCTGCCTCGAGGCGCCTTCCCTTGTGCGAATTAAGATGCGTCGCCGCTCCTTCGGGATATGCACAACATCAAGATTCGAGTATTTGGAAGGAAGGAGACAAAGAAGTGAGTTCAAGCTGGATATTTGGGGTGACCAGCTCGAAATTTAAAACCCTTGACAACTTTGTACTCCAGTGTCGTCGCCCATTTGCCCACCCACACGGATGACACCAACTCCGCCATCATCGCGTCGTAAATACGCCGAGGCGTCAAGAAGTAGGCGTCAAGAAGTAACACCGCGCAACCGCACGACGGACGGAATACGCACCCGCCTCGTAGAGCGATTCTGCAGCATTCGCTTATCTCCTTCGTTGACGGTTGTAGGTCCCCATTAGCATAACCCATCTCTCTTTTATCCCCGTGCAGCCCAAGATCGCGCGAATAGGGGATCTTGATGCGAAGGCAGACACGCGTTAGGCACGTTGCAGAAGTGGGGGACCCTGGTTCGATGTTACGGAGGTTCGATGTTACGGAGGTGCATTGTAGACCGAAGAACGCCGATGTTTCTCCTCTCTGAGTACTGTTATATATCCGGCCTTTGATTGGAACATGTTTGTGGTCCGCGAGATTTTCTTGAACGAATAATTGGCAGATCTCGGACAGCTGAAGTGGCGTGATTGATCACGGAACGGAATCAGGAAGGGAACTCTGTAAAACGTTCTCTGTATCGACAGGAAGAATTATGTTCTGACAAGTCTGATAGTCTAGCATTCCGCCCTTGCAGCCATAACCCTCTTCTGCATCCTTCAAGAGTCTCTTGAAAGTTCTCTTACACTGATTATCTATTTTTTCTTGACCCTCTTCCGCGGCGCCCAAGCTTAGCTCCATCGTCGATCGACGGTGGCGATCTTGATCAAGCGAACTACGTCATCGATTTCTAGGGACCAGCCAAACAGCGCGTAAGAATCTTAAGCTTACGCCTGTGGCTTAGAACTGTACAGTCATCGTCGCTGTCTGCCTCGAGGCCTTTATCGCTGTCCCGACAGTCTACCTTCGTCTATGCACGCTCCGCAATGATCCATCTTGGACGGACTATCGAAACCCTTGGCCCTCGCTAGAATATACGTGGCAAAGAACTGGGTTGTAGGAGATCTAGGTGCTCTGAATTGGTCCCCTCCTCGTTCTATGGCAAAACCACGCGCGTCAAACACACCGAATGCTCCGTAATGGCACTACATGCACTACCTCCGGGGTTCCAGCACGTGCATCGATCTTTGGCTTGTCTGGACAGCTACTACCCGGGAAGCACAGACAAGGAGTGTAGTGGAACTATAACCCTTGCCCTGCTCGATATGGATGCCTGAATGCCCTGAAATCGTGTACACGGCTCGAATTTTGCGCCAGCCTCGAGGTCTGAATCGCTCCGGATTCCCGGCTCGGGAGACGAGGTGTTCACACCTTGTTTGTCCATGACTCTGGAACAATTGCATGTCATCCATCTAGATCTCTTGCCGCTACATGAGGCAGCTCTCTAAGCTTTTGCACGAAAACAGCAAGCGGCATTCTGTTCCCTAGGTTGAAAAGGTCTGCAAAATCGCTTTGCGATGTTCTTCATTCCGCCCAAGTCTGGCCCTCAGCTCCTTTCTTGTTTTCCTCAGCCTTACAGCGCAGCGTGACGCCATGAGCATCCGGTAAATACAGCAGACGTGCAGAGACGGTTCTCCTGCTTAGCCCGGCAACGGCCCCTGCTCAGGACTGCAAGAAATGCCACAATCCAGGTCTCCGCGATGCTGCTTGAGATCTTTTGAATTCTACCACGACCCTCTTTCTCAGTCTCTCGATACTTGGATACCTAAATCGGTGGTCTGTTCCGTGATTTCTGTGCGAATACCCATTCGCATTGAAAGGCAACGAGTTTCGTCTGGCTCCGGTTTGTCGGACTCACGAACACTCTTCCGTCTGCTTGACTCCAAAGCCAGCCTTGCAATATGTGTTGGGTACGAGCCCAGATGGTTTACTTGCACCATTTCCACGGGCCTATGCAATCTTACCCCTTCCTTGTGCGTATTCCACACGATAAGCCAACCGACAACGTAAATCCGCCCCCTTGTCCACTCCACGGAACCCTCCACCTTCTGCTCCGAATCCCAAATATCTATGTACCCCATCTGGCAATTCAACGTTTGCGAAATTGTTCGTGCTAAAGTCCTTCTGCGTTCCCCTTCCTATTATCGTCGCGTTCGCCTTTGCAAAGCTTGGGAAGAATCATACGACAACTCATCTTACGGGGTGGTCGAGCACAATCTCCCAATCATGCTATTGTAACTCTCGAAAGAGCTTTGGTGTTTCATAAGATCGGCATCCAATATAAATGGTCTTCATTCGCCGACCGCGACACCCTGCTAAAGCAATAGAGATCGTGGTCTGGTGAAATGGCATAGCTTCGAGAAGTCTTTGCGGTGGTCTTCGTAGTTGTAGGATTACGATACGAGAAAGTTCAAACGTTCAAGTATGAAACAGTCGTCGAGCGTGGTGTTGAGAGCAAAGGCCTAAGATCCTACGCTTTATCGATTCATCCTCAATCAATTGAATTCTGCGCCCCCATCTTGCAAGTTCGCTAGGCCTATTCCCGGCTCAACGCCAAGATTATGACGCCTATTCCTTTACGGAGGCGGTGTGCAACGTCAAAGCCAAGCTCTCCCAAAATTTCTTGGTAGATTTATGGCCTGTAACCGTCAATTCAGTGCTAAGTACATAGCATGATTTGTCACAGCACCAATCGTAGTAATCTAGATTTTAGCGCCCATGAAATAGTTTCATTTAGGCGACAACCACTAAATTGTAGCAGAGAGTATGTATTCACTGAAATGCTAACTGTGCACGGTCCAGAGCTTTAGTGGCATATCTTCACCAGGCTTGGCCATGATTCGGCCACCACTCGGCCACGATTCTTATATATAACTCTCACACAACGGTGGAGCATCTGCCAAGAGTTCGCGTACACGTTTGGGAGCCACCATACATGTGCCCCGCGTGGCTACATGATTGACTAGGATTGACTACAGGATTGTCACATTACCTGTACATATATAGGCCGTTTGTTGCAGTGACGACCATAATTGAACAATGGCCCATGAGGAAAGTGTGTCACCACGTTTGTGTATGGTCATTGAAGTGGATCCTACGGCTTCTGTGAGCAGTAGTAATAGAGTCCAAAGGCTTGAAACAGGTATCTCGCTGTCGTTTCATGGGCTGCAGCACAAGAACTGTACACATTTAACGAAGGCTTCGCAACGTCAATGCGTAGAAATTTTCATTCCCTATGGACAGGATACGAGGTCCCGAAACGCCAACCGTTCACTTCGGAGCGCGGTCAACATGAGTGCTTTACGAGGGCCGGCGGCCGAGCCACCAGCTGAGCTGCGGGAAGCCAGTTTGCCAATCAACGAGAGGCTATTTCGTATCCGAGCGCTTCTTTCATGCCAAGATTTTCCGAAGAGGTGCCAACATGTCGCTTTAGGAAAGCAGCCTTTCATTCCGACCATCTTCTTCGACGACTGTTACAAGAACGAGGGATGCAGTCCGAGCAGCCACTCTGCCGGCCGACATGCTGACGATGGGAGCGTATGGTGAGCATGCTCCGTGTAAGATTCGTACCTCTGTATAAAGGCTTCGCTCCTCACAGTAGGTAGACGTCAAATCCCAGCGCAGTGCGACATGAAATACCTCTCCCTACTTCCAACCTTGATTTTCGCGGCGAGGGTCGTCGCGTTTCCCTCACATGCCTCACTGGCCGGCCTCAGCGAGCGGGAATTGGCGGCCATCATTCCTACACTCGATGCTCGAGAGCCAGCACCGCCTCCTGGACCTCTAGAGGACGATTCTGCGAAATTGGTCA